TCGAAATGACCGAGTCCCGAAAAATGGTCTGTGTGTTTGTATGTTAGCAGTCTAGCTCAAAAACGAAAAGTCCTACGTAACTGATATTACGTATTCAAGATATGCCTTAGATGTGACGGCAAATTTCTCCTTAAATTCGGCTAACCGGAAGTGCCACTTTATATCAACGCTGAAACATATTTTAAAACATTTTAAAAGTTTATGGAATCTCCTAAAGAAACAAAAAAAAAAACTCGTTAAGACCGGACAATTAGGAGGAAAGATATGGTCTCTAGTTTTTTTCCCTGAAGAGGTGAAAATTTGGATAAATTTAAAATATATTTTTTTAATTGTTGAGATTAAAAAAACCTTTTTTCTACAGATTTCTAATAAAGTGTCTTTCCTAAGAACATCTTTCATAAGAAAGTAGTACCTAAATGTATAATTTTATTCTCAGTTCTATATTTCAGCACTGCAATAACCACCTCTTGAATCAACTTACTCATTTTCTGCATAGATAACTTTTTCAACTAAAAATATCACTAAAATGACATCACTCAAAAATGTTGAAATTGGAGTTAGTCATTCTGTGGTTTATAAAAGCAGATAGAGTGACTAGATTTTTATTGCCTGTCGTCGATATATTTAATAGATATTTTGTAATTATAATGGTCTTAATGACTTGTTATCTGTAAGCTTTAAGCTTTAGCTCCATTTAAGATGCACTTCAAAAAAAATTTGTAATAGCCCAGCATTGCCAGAAAATAATTTCTATTCATAGTAGATCGGTAAGTGAAAGTTGTGTGTTGGGCGCACCAGATTCTTTATATCTATATAGTGATTAAAAAAAAATACATTTTTGTTTTTATAAAACTATCAAATACAAACAATTTGAGCATGATCTTCATATGAGCAATTTTATTATAAAAAATATAAATTTTCCCATACAAATATTTTATAATTATAATTTTTAATAAAATTGAATGAACGAATGATTTTATTTTCTCGATTTATAAATTATAGAATACAATTTTAGTTTTCTGTTATGTTTTTTTTTTCATGTTATTTATCCAATTTTTTTTAACGGATATCTCTCTATAGCGGCCAATTTTTGATTTCCCGTAAGGTTCCACTTCAGAGAGGTTTTCCTAAAGTAACTAAAATGGACGAATATTTGTAACTATTTAGTTTTTATTTTTATTCATAAAAACGTTTTATTTTTCCATCTTGCTCCTTTTTTGGTGAATGAATGATTTTTTGTTATTATTTGGATAGCTATACTGAAGTATACAATTCGCCAAGAAAAACAACCCCGTTAAGATTTAAGGCACGGTTAAAATGTTTAAGCACCGTACTATATCTGAAAATAGTTTCAGTTTAACTTGACTGCTTTGCTGTCTTTATATAGAAATAAAGAAAAATAATTATTAATACTTTTTATTTATTAATTAATAATTTTAGTTACTTTAGTAATACTTCTATGAAGTGGACACTTACAGGAAATAAAAAATTGGCCGCTATAATAATAATAAATAGTATTGCTTTATTTATTCTGGGACGAGTCCCTTTAGAATAATACAGAAAGACAAAAATGTGGGCTAAGGAGCCTTAGAGCTACATAAACAAAAATATAGAGTAATTAAATAGTCAAAATAAAAAAAATAATAGAAGAAATTATAAGTTACTTACTAATTTAAATCAGTTAATAATAAAAAATTAAAAATTAATAATAAACATGAAATAAAAATAATGAAGAACGATGTAATGATTTATATACATAATTACAGAAGTAACTTTTTGTAATGTTATGGGGACTAGATGGAGAAGAAATGATTGAACAGGCTGGGTTTAAAGGTAGGAAGGGTTTTGGATTGACGGATGTGGGGAGGGATGGAGTTCCATAGGGATGAGGATCGGATAATGAACGTCTGTAGAAAGCAGCGGTTCGGTGGGACCTTACATATAAATCAGAAGAACGGGAACGAACGGAGGATTTGAATTGAAGGAGATCGGAGATGTATGAAGGACGGTGGGATTGGATGACTTGAAAGAGGAAGGATGTCAGCAAATACTTACAACGGTAGGAAGGATAAAGCCACTTCAACTCTGCATAAAAACGGGAAACAGCGGCGTCCCTTGGGATCCCAAAGATGTATCGTATAAATGGAATTTATCAAACGTTTTAATTTCGCCTCGAGATCCCCAGAGACGCCCCCATATACCGTACAGCAATAGTCAGAGTTTGGAAAAATTAAGAAACTTACTAGTAGCCTAAGGGTTTCAAGGGAAAATAGATGACGGAGTAATTTAGACGTTTTAATGTGGAAATGGTACGGCAGGAGATGTTGGATATATGATTTTTTCCAGGAAAGCCTTTGATCAAAAATTATTCCAAGGTTTTTGATGGAGGGATAAAATTTGATGGGATAATCATGTAGGAACAGAGTTGGAATATTAGGAACAGTATTAAGGAGGTGATTGGAGCCTATTAAGATTGCCGTAGACTTTTCTGCATTCAATTTCAACTTGTTACCTCTCGCCCAGTCACATATCCTATCCAAGTCTTCTTGAAGTTTTACTGTGGTTGATAATAGGTCGGTGGGCGGGAAGGACAGATATATTTGGAAATCATCTGCATAGATATGGTAGTGGGAGTGATGGATAAGGAGGGGAAGGTCATTAATATAAATAGCAAACAGAGTACGAGATAGAGAGGAACCTTGAGGGACACCACAGGAGAAGGGAAGGATTTTAGATGGAGGTTGGCCTGGGACAACTACATGCTGGGACCGATTTGAAAGGAATGATTTGAACCAACGCAGGGTAGTGTTGGATAGATGAATAATGTGCAATTTAGTGAGGAGGATGTTATGGTCTACTGTGTCAAAGGCTTTGGAAAAATCTAGAAGGATGAGGATAGTAAGGTTTTGGTGTTCAATGGAGTTTTGAAGGTCATAGGTTATTTTAAGGAGAGGGGATATCGTTGAGTATCCAGGTCAGAAGTCGGAAAGGAGAGAAATAGGTCGGAAGTCGTGAAGTAAGGTAGGGTTTGAAATTTTATTCAAAGGTCGGACTAGGGCAGTTTTCCAGGAGGATGGGAGTATGGAGATTTGCAATGAAAAGTTGAAGATATGGTAAAGAACAGGTAGACTGGATTTTATTAGTTTCGCCGGAATATTATTAGGACCATAATCATTAGTGTGAGATTTTAGGATAGTGGAAAGTAATTCATCGTTGGACACATGGGAAAAAAAGAAGTCTTCTGGTTTGAAATTATGACGTTTGATTTCGAAAGTAGGAGAAGAATTGTGAGTGAAGGATAAGAAACCGTCATTGAGATCATCTGGAGTCAACTGAGTTTATTGGATTCTGATATGGATAGGTTATGGAGTTTTCTCTATTTGGATTTGGAATCGGGAGCATTGGAAAGGGCATTATGAAAGTAAGTGGCTTTAGCAAGTTGGATTGTGAATTGGGTTCCATTGCGAGATTCTTTGAAAAACGCATAATCAGCAGGCAAACGGATTCGACGATATTTGCAGCTTGCTGCGTAACGTATTTTCGTCATTTCCTTTATTTAAGGAGTCAGTCAAGGTGCAGTGGGACGACGTAAGGTTCCGGTTTTCTGAGGAGCATGGGTGTGTGAAAAGTATTGTAAGTTTAAGGTTATTATCGATAAATATCCGTATATTTAGCTACAGAGAGATATGCGTTTAAAAAAAATGGTTAAATAACTAATATCGTATTTTATAATTTATAAATCTTGAAAATGAAATCGTTTATTCGATCAATTTGTTTTAAAATTATAATTTTAAAATATTTTCATGCTCAAATATATATGAACACATATGAAGTTCATGCTCAACTTGTTTGTACTTGATAGTTTTTTAAAAACAAATATGTATTTTTTTAAATACTATATAAATATAAAGAAATGTTTGTAGTCTGTAATTTTTGTTTTAACTACCATAATTATTTCATTTCCCATATTATTATGGAAAGATAATATCGTTACAATTCTTTCACTTTCTTCCTTCAAAATGAAAATTGTTTTTCAGCTTACAAATTTATGACAGAACTTCTTCAATATTCATTAAGGGCCTGGAGGACTCGTAGATCACGAAAATGCATTGTCAGCTCAAAGGTCCAGTGAGAGAATTGCTCGAAATGATAGTGCAAACGGAGGCGGGTTAAGGCATGAACCTGGAGAAATCATTTATATGTTACTTCACCTACGTCATATAATAACTGCTACTAAAATATCATTTTTTGTTTATTCACTTTTCTGCAGTTAACTTTTCACAGTATTCGTTATTTCTTTTAAATGCCTTACCGCTAAATTTTAATGGAGTAGCTAAAATGCGAATAATAAGGTTTTCCGATTAATCCATTCATAGCATAAGTTTCCTTTGAAATTTAACCGAAACCGCGTTAACATGTTACAATCAAATCTGTATAAAGGACAACAAAAGGCTAAGATTCTAAACTCTATTTGAAAACCGAACTCCTAGTAGGTATTATTGAACTAAGCGACATTCAATTGGATTAATGTTCTCAGAACATGAACTCACAAACTCGCTGCTCTCGGTTGCGGAGAGACTTTCCATCAATATCTGTGTATGAAGTATGTCCGCATCCTTTATACACAACGTCCAGTATGAAGTCATTTAAATAGTAAAATTATTAAAAATAAGCTGAGATTATAAAATTATATATCATCTATATATACATGTTATATATATATATATATATATATATATATATATATATATATATATATATATATCTGTTTTTAAAATATTGGAATCGGCTAAAATTTATTTATAGATGATCGATTGATATATATATATATATATATATATATAGTTATATATTATACTTTTATTTTAAGTTTCACTCCAAAGAGCAGATAGCGGGAAGAAAATAATATATATTTTTTTAACTTATTTATTTATTTTACATGAATATATGAAAAACAATACATATTTTGCTCCGATACTAGTTTTTCTCTTTAGGTGTTTTCACAATTGAACGAAATTTCCTGCAAAGTTACACAACAAATTAATTAAATCATATATGAGGTAATTAGATATGGTAATAAAAATAAATCCAACATGAAATGTAGGTGAGGGTTGTTACGATGACAATAGATAGATTTGATTTAATGTTTTTGGAAGTTTGGTCAACTTAATTATGCTATTAGGAATATTCTCTATATTGATCATTAAATTGTACTGATTAATTCGTTAAATGAGTTCGTTTAACTCACTTACAAATAAGATTATATGAACTGAATGGATAGCAAAAAAAAAAAAAATACAGAGTAGAGAAATAAATCATTAAATCATCCAGCCCAATCTCGAAAATTTGAAATATAAATCTAACATATCAAAATAGAATTAATTTATTGGTTGTATTTATATCTGTATCATGCTATTCATAACAATACAAATATTTATTATATCTATACTTATCAATATTCATTATATCTATATAAATATAAATCTTATGAAAACACAGATAATCTAACTTTTAGTAAAAAATATATTTACTTCCATAACAGGAGTTTTCCAATCTCATCATACATGAGTTGCTAAATTCTCGCTTCTCAGTTTTCCCAGCACGAGTCTCAATACCCCAAACCGGATCATAGCGCGCTAAGCATCTGAAGTTACAGCCATTGCTCGTATCAACTGATGCTGCAGCCAAGCCGAGGACTGAAAGTAACATAGCATTTCTCAATACCATATTTGTTTTTGTTGAGGTCTTAGGACTATTTGATAATTTAACCATTTGGCTCAGCTAACTCACATATACAAATATAAAACACTTTTTATATAAGAATTCTCCCTGCAACACTTTTGGAGACAGCCCTGATGAAGGCCTGAACTTCAGGTCGAAACGTCGGCATATGTAAATATAAATATTATCATTTATTTTTGCCTTCTTATTTGACTGGTCACAACAACTATTCTTCTCTTCATTATCCACGATAGTCAACCATTTACCAATTAGGTATTTATAAGTAGGCTTTGAAATCGTTAATTATTTTTTCCACAAAATCGTGTATTAATTATTATATTTGAATTTTAATTTAGAAATCGCATCTGATAATAATAATGATAAATTGTGATAAAAAAATTTTGATCAGAAAATAAAAACTCCCTTTTAATCACAAATCAAATTAAATATTAATATGTACGTACACATTAATTATTTACATATTTTTTAGTACTATATTTTTAAAATCGCTTTATTTTTGAATGCGACACCTGCACTGTATACATGTATACATATAAATTTTTATATATTTTTTTGTACGCCAAAATTACTAGTAAATTTTGGAAATAGATAAGTTGTGTTTGAACATTAGAAATTAATATTCTTTATTAACCAATCCAGACTCTTAATATATCATAGAGATTGCAAACAAATTATATTTATGATTTTAAAAAGTATTACTCAAGAATTATTATTATGGCTAATTGTAAAAAAAATGTTGAAAAACAATGATCAGCACTTGATTTTGATCACCTATGAAAAAATAAAAATCGATCATAGTAATAATCATCAAATGATTTTTTAAAATATCGATGAGATTTGATTTTTATTTATTTTAATTATCGATTTCGGTCTCTGTTATAAGCACTTGATAGTTATTGGACGGTATGTTCTAAATGTACTTACACAGGACAATACCAAAGAATAAAATCAGCTTCATGTCTTCGACTCGAAGGAGCTCACAAAACTGTCGTTCTGATCTAAACCGTTCCTTTTATATCCCCTACCCGGAAAAAACTAATAGCGGGGATGTGATGGTGACACCTCATTATAACCTAACGAACTGACAGCGTTAGGGTTGTTACCTTTAGGGTCGGTTGATTTCTGTCAAAGACTATAGGAGTTCGTGGTATACAACACATCTTATTGGTGCATGTATCAGTTGGGGCAGATCATTCCATATTCGAGTCTGGGACACCTTGTAAAAACAAACAGTTTTAGTTGGTTTTAATTTTTCATTTTTACGATATGTTTCTTTAAACACTGTTTATTTGGAGTTTAAAAAATTACATGTTTTACGTGTTTCAACTGGTGATGGTTGATAACCAATAATGAGGTAGCTAACGAAATTTTATCGAATAATTTCATGTCTAATATGAGAAAGGACAGTAGCCAACGCCTCTTCTCTGGCTTGGTTCAGTTATTTTATTTTAAGTAAATGGATCTCTCATCCAGCGCCTTTTCAGTCTCCTCATATTCGGGTGAATGTCAGATGTTGCCATAACTCTTATTAAACTGTAGTTATGTCCAATTAAAAGTTTTATGAAATCGTCGGTTTACACTAGTACAAAATAGGCAGTATAGCAATTCGCAACTCTTGCCTCCTGTAAAATACTGAAACTGGCTCCGTATGTTGACGAAGTCCACAGTCTTACAACTTAAAACTTAGCCTTGTATATAGGTAAGGCTATAATACAATCATTATAATAACTATAACACACTCCATAATAATCGAGCCTATAAACTACAATACATTATAACTGTATACTGCCAATCATCAACTGATTTTATTTTATTTTTTTATTGTTTAAACTTTAAAACATATGTTGATGAAAATAATGCCTAACAACGTTAAATACATTTAAACTGATAAATAAATACATTAACGCTGCAGGCGTTAACTGTTTTGGTGAAGCTTCACACTTTATGAAGATTGTTAGAGTAACAATTTACTTAAAAAGTGATCATCTTGTTTCACTGGAAAATATAACTCCAGTTTAAGTACATTAAGACACATTTTTGATTCTTTCATTGAGACGCATTAATTTGTTGATGAATTGCAGGTATACTTTACTGATTATTTAATAACACTAGCGGGTCCAGTATTTTTTTTTGGCGAGTTAAACCTGAAATATGTTATTGTATATATATATATATATATATATATATATATATATATGGGGCCGGTATAGAAGAGTGGTTAGCGTGTTGTACTAGTAAAGCACTTGATCAAGCAAATCTTCCACGGCAACACGGCTCACAGCGACAGAGGAACCGCTGATGATTTGCTGTGAGTCCGAGGAGATGTTGAAGAGCCGTTTTGCTCCTTTATGTCATGTCCTCCGCCGTTGATAGTTTATGGTGGCCCTGCGTACTCCAACAGCTGCAAAAATATGACGCTCCTATCGATATATATGTCCTTGTAAGGAGCTATCTTCGGGAAAGGCGATTGACGATTAAAGGCAGCTATTACGATGTAGAAGCTTCCGTAGAGATGGGATGACTTGAGGGATCAGTACTTGATCCTGCTCAATAGAAGCTGGTTTTTGATGAGTTTCCTGGGAGTGCTTGAAAATATGCGGTTCTCTGTCACAGCCAACGTTGACGACCTAGCTGCAGTGGTGGCATCAAATAGCATGGCGGGAAAGTAGAGGCATAGCGATGCGTCAAGCCTGTAGCCAGATGGTGTGAGGGAAAGAAAATGACGATGGGTGCTGAAAAGACGCAAGCCATCCTCTTAAAGGGCAAGACTGATAGAGCACACTCCATCAGCATGGACATATAATACGCCCAAGTGAGGTGGTTACATCCCTTGGTATAAAGTTAGGTTACCTAGCAACTAAGGTGACCCAACTATGACGATTTATAAAGGCGTTGTACTGTGTATCTTCATGTATGCATCTCCTGGTACACTAAAGGTGGTAGCGAAAAAGGTTGGCGTCGATCCAGAGGATGGCCCTGTTCTGTGTCACCAGAGCATTTAATACGTCGCATGAAGCAATAGATTCTCCCGGACTATTGGGTTTCACAATTTCTCACAGGGCCGGGGGGTTTTGGTCAAGACAAAGTTCCCTAATGCCCCACTTATGTAGTTCTGGAGATTGTCGAGCACGTGATATGAGCTGCACTGCATTCGAAGGAACAAGGTCAACAATGATTAGAACCGCGGGAATTTACGTCCTAACAGAGGATTAACTTCTTCAGTTGGTAAGTAGGGAGAACTTCCCTCGGTTCAAGAAATTTTTTTCTCGCTGGAAGGACGCAGTGGGTTCAACATCGGAGCACGGAAAAGTGGACCACCACCAAAAAGACCGCCGGAAGACGGTCACCCGTGATCAGAAGCCACCAAAAATAAAAACTTTTGAACTGTTTCACTTGCACTAATGTGTGTATATATGTATGGATATATATGTATGTAAATAGATTTTTTTATTTTAGGCAAAATCATAATTGCTAGAAATTTATGTTTTTTTTAGTATTAAAGCCGTAATTCCAGTTTAGTTGATTGTGTCCTTCACGATCCTGCTCCTTCATTGTTTTGGACATATTGAGGGACAATATCTCAATATACTTCCTTCTATCTTTGCTAAAACGCTTAGAGGATATCGCCAGATGTAGTGGGTTCTCGACTTCGCCACACATCTCCCAATTTAGTGTTCTCTTCATTTTTATGAAGTTTAAGAATTTATGTGTATTTCTATGGTTACTTCTCAGACTTATAAAAATTGTTACTTCACTTCTTTCCATATATATTCCAATAGGGGTGAACAAAGATTGTAAATAGATTTTTGGGTGAGTTAAATAGTGGTCTTTCCCTTTGCTTGAGACTCCCAGTCATATAAATTCTACCATTCGTAGACAATTGTCTTAGTGAACAGAAAATGTCTGTTTTGGATATTTTAGAATTAATTCTTATTGTATTGGTAGTATCTGGAGCAGTTTGATCTGCACGTTCATTTTCGTGTAGATGTCCTGATTGTTCTTGTCACATGTCCTGATACAAACTGGGTCGGGTGCTGTTCTTTTTATAATCTCTCGGTTTTATTTAAAAGAATTTTGTTTACAGTCTGTATAGAAATGTATAGTTGGACTTTAACCGTCTAAAATCCTATTTTTATTGTTTTATTTTCCATGGTTTTAATCGTAAGATAATTTGATTATAAAATCGAGGAAGAAGGCGGTCAACAAAAATACTGGGCTGTTTGGTATATAAAAACCTCCTTATTATGACATGTTGGTGATGTAGGTCACGCCAAACAGCCCATTATTTTATTATCTCTTCTCTTTAACCTATTCCATTCTTAATCCCATTCGTTATGAAATGCTCGTAAGACTCACTTACTACCCCCAGATACTATTTTGTTTATTTACCGTCTCTATTTATTTTATATTCATGTATTTTTTTTATCTGTATTTTGTATTTGTACTTTATATTACCAATAATTTTGTAAAAATTTAATTGAAGGCCACAAGGCCACACTGGTACATTTATTATTTTATGCATTTATGATTTGTTTGAATGGACACTAGTCCCAGAATAATAAAGTTATTTCCATTTCAATTTATCTTACGATTCAAATGGAAAGTAAATTGGTTCCAAGCCCCTTCTTAGATCCTATACCGACTTTCCCATACTAAACCTTGGTGACCAGCCAATCTCCTTTTACGCCTCTGTAAAAAATGTAGGGCTAATTATTGATCAACCCCTCTCCTGGAATCACCATATTTCTCACATCTCCCGACGGACAATCTCTACCCTCAAACTATTCCATCGCTTCCGCCATCTACTACCTCAACATACGCGTAGATTCCTCGTTTCCTCTCTGATCTTCCCCCACTTTGACTGCAGCTGTGTGGTGTATGATGGACTCTCGGTGGAGCTCCGCGACAGACTGAAAAGATTAATGAACAGTTGCGTGAGATTTGTAATTGGTGCCCCGGGATACTATCATGTCTCTCACCACTACACTGAGTTAGAGTGGCTCTTCCCCTCCATTCGAAGACAATATTTCCTAGGTACATTCCTCTATCATATCATCAACAATCATCGTCCTTCCTACACCTACAATCTTCTCCAATTCAAGTCCTCAATCCACTCCCTCTCCACAAGATCTCGACCTTCCGACCTTTAAATTCCTTCTCACAGATCTGCCTCGTTTCAGTTCGTACAGTTCACTGTACAGTTTCGTTGGCACAGTGAAAACTCGTTTATTGCTCGCTCTGTTAATTTTTGGAATTCCCTTCCTATCAAAATCTGACATTCTGTATCCCTATCTACATTCAAAATCCTCCTATACCAATTCCTGTTCCAAAACAGTCAGATACCAGCTAACCTGTTATGTAAAATTACATATTTTTTTATTTATTTATTTTTTTTATTTTATATTATTTCTTTCAACAGAAACACAGATTTTACTGTTAAGAAGAATTTACATTTTTTTTTTTGTATTTTTTTAAAAGGGTTTATTTATATTTTACCATTGTACATAGTTTTAAGTATGTTAGTATGGTTTCGAGAGTTATGCATATAGATTACTTTATTTTGTTTTGTATATATTATGTATAACTTTTTATGTTTGTTTTTATCTGGCCAGATATAAAATTTTAATTTCTGTACTTTTTTGTTATTCTGAAGGGACGTCTTCCAAGAATGAAATTATTTTCTATTCTATTCTAAATGGGTATCCATGGGATTATGAAACAACATAGTTTACCGATCTCCAAATTGAAAACATTTATGATAAAACCATTCACAAAGTTTTTGAAGAATGTTAATTTGATACGAAGGTGTCTTTACCACAGACCATAACTACTGGGATTGCCTTACAAACTTCGTCAATTCCTAACCTTTACATATTTCTTATTTATCCGCTCCACCCTTAATGATAGAACTTTTAAAATAAATCATAATTTTATTTATTCAATGCTCATTGCTAAGTA